TGGCTGAACCCAGCACACCAGGCCAGCAGTTGGGAAGGCAGGCGGCTGCCGTCCCCGCGTGCAGGCTACGCGCTGCGTAGCACATCATCAGCCGGGCCCGCGTCGAACTAGAGCCTTTGAAATCGTTTTCTTCCACTCAAACAGCTCACCCAGCACTTCTCCGCAGGCGCCACTCCACGCACAACCGAAGGGAGCTTTTGTGCGAGCATGGGAGACAGGACCGTGCTGTGCTTCGCGCACACACGGCTGATCGCCAGCGTGTGCAGTCGGAGTACAGCTGGGGCGTTATCCAGATGGAACACCGCTTAGCACAGACCCTTATTTTGGCATGAATACAGGGTCTTTTAATAATGGCTTTAAATATAAACAAAGTCATATCGATTTACCTGGCTCAACTTGAAAGATTAAACCCTTTTTGCCCAATTTGACACCTTTTCCACTTACAAGGTCTTTAATTCCCAGACAGCGGACAGCACTTTAAGCACAAATGACTGTGCCTGACGTTCGGCCGGTGTTGGGGGCCCTTTGCTGGGCTGGGACTAAGGCCGTGGGCTCCCTGCGTGACCAAGCACCGGAGAGACATCAAAAGCAACAGCAGCGAGTCTGCTCACCACACCTCCGGACTCCAGGTCCGGGTCCCTGCCCCTGCAAGTGGGGCTGGGAAACCCATCCCTCCCTCAACTGATCGCACACAGAGAAACTACTTCCCCTACTTCAGCATTCCGCGCTGGTGCCGCTCACCAAGTGACCTTCCCGTCCCAAAGAGCGGCGTGACCCAGCTAAGCAGCACTCATTCTCAGTGAAAATAGTGATTAGTGAGGAAAACAAAATGCCTTCAACAGACACGGTGGTTAAAATCTTTTATTCTTTATATCATAGAACATACTGCTGTTTACTTTAAATCACTTCAGAGTCAAGGCACACATTGTTAAAAATACTTCAGATTTACATCACATGTACAAATGCGTAAAACAGATGTACATGTCACCAAAAAAATACATTATGGCTTCATAAGGTTGAGGCGGGGCTGGGACAACTCGACATGGATTTCAATTTTACAGGATGCTGTTGAGACTGAAAGGACTGACTAGAACAGAAAGGAACGGGCCTGAACCACTGATCAGGTTACGTGAATAGTACAACGCTGTGAGTACGCAACACCGAGCGCTCGCGTTCGGATTCAGAGGATTCAAACTCACAGGGCTTCCCAGCCCCACCCAGCGAACAGCGCGTCCGACCTGCCGGTCTGCGACGGCGGGACGGTGAGCTGCAACCCCCCCCTCCTGCCAACGGGCTCCGCCGATGCGCCCTGTGAAACAACAGGCCTGGGGGGCAGCAACCGGAGAGAGGAACTGAGGGACGAACGGACAACTCGCACGCTTACCGCTTCTGCCTAAAAAGCGTAAAACATTAAGTCTGCAAGAAGGCTCCATGACAATCACTGAGCATTAGTCCCACCCCAGTTTAAGGCTCGTATCTAAAATTTACCTTAGATTTGTTTTCCTTTGTGTAAAATTACCTGAGCACGGATATCAAAGACCTACAGAGCTTTTAAAATATCTGCAGATACCTTAAAAACCTGTAGATAAACTTAAAGCAAAATGTCAATATATTGAATTCTACCAGCTAAAAATTCTCAAAAAAACAACCAACAAAATATTTTGGTATGTCAGTAAAGCCAGGAGAATGAGCTTAAGCTTTTGCTTTCATCTTTTACAACCACACATAAAACACAACAGAATTATTCAAACAGGACTGCTTAACTGTAAACAATACATTAAACCTTAAAAAAAAAAAAATTCAGGAATCAAAATTCAGGCAGTCACTCTAGTTTTCCACGGACTGGTTACAAATGCTGCTTCTCCTCTTGCCAGAGGTGGCTGGTGGTTCCTTAAGCGCTGACCGATGGAAAATAAAAGGACCCGCCTCCACCGCATTCTGCATTATCTTTTCCACGTCGTGCCCAAGAAGCGGGAACGGCTGCCGTTCTCATTTGCTAAGGTGTACTCCCCGCACAAGGGTAAGGCCCAGACCCAGAAAAGCACTCCACATCCTCAAGAGCTCGGCAGAACCGGCTCCGATGGAACAGGTTTCCAGTTCAACACGCACTGGAATGACCTGCTGCGCTGGGGCCTGGGGAGTTTTCCGAGTGCAAGGCAGACCAGCTCCCAGCAAAGTTGGTGTCATCAGACCCTTAATTTCGTTAAGAAGCTTGAAAAAGACAGCGCTGCACGGAAGATGCACGTACACACTTTCAGCAAGCAACAGGCTGTACGGGACGGCTTCCAACACAAGGCTTTGGAAACACGCCCTGCTAAAAGCAGTTTGTGGATTCTATTGACCCAACTGAAAAGAACGAAGAAACACAAGAACATCGCCTTTTCCTCCTCCTGCCTCACACACCAGCTCCTATCATTTCATTCCTAAAAGAAATTAATACACGTAAAAACTTCGCTTTCAGCGATGAGCAACTGTACACAAGCCTGAGGCGCAAACGGGATATACACCAGGGCAAGACTTGGATATGACCGTTATTGGTACTGCTGAACTGGGACTAGACAACTGCAGAGGGCACTTTACAATCACTGGCAATCCTGTATAAAGGGTACCAAAAAAAACTCCTATGAAATACAGATCTAGGATTAAAAAAGAAATTAATAATATAGAGCTCGATGATGGATGGCTGTCCTGGATCACTAAAAGTCACAGCAGTCTGAAGTACCCATAATTTCATGTATAAATAGCAGGTAACCCAAACAAAATGCTATGGCTAGACTCATAACCTAAACTGAACACTGTTTTCCTATTAAATAGATTAAAATATTCATCCACTGAGAAATTACATTGATAAATAAAGTATTTTCATGTATCAAAAAAGAGGGGCAGGTACTATCGGTTCCAAACTTCTTGTCCCAGTAATGAAAGGTCCGAGAAACAAAAGTGAATTCTACAGCAGTTCTAGTCTCTTAAAATTTACAATACTGAATCCAGCAGGATTTGGCTAAATAACACAGTTTAAATAAGCTAACCTAAAGGAACAGTGTCCTGTAAACATCTGACACAAACCACGTTGCATTCTGATGGTGCGGCTCTACCCTCCCTGCGCAGGAGGAAGACGATTCAACTGGCGGTGGTAACGAGGGATGCGATCTAAAGGCAACATTCCTGTTCTTCAGTAAGGCTTGTAAAAAATTTTGAGCAGTGTACGTATGACAGCCTGTACAGTTCTGAAATTTTTGGAAAGCTCTTAAGTTTAAAAAAAAGCCTAAACGTTTTAAGTATAAAACACACATTGAGAAGACGTCCTTCTAAATTACGTGTGAAAGTGTCTGGCACCAGAAATGACCACTAGGTATTATTATACCTAAGGGGAAAAAAAAAAAGCAGAAGAATCACTCAAGTGTCCCTGAACTTCAGAGCAGATGCAGCCAATTGGGTCACTTTGTGTTGTTCTGTTCCTCTGGAGAAGTCACGAACACACACTCTTTAGGCTGTCCGTACTACATCATCAGTCATATACATTATATATACAGTGTGCATATATATAATATATATTTGCCTACACACTTCTCCCTCCTTCTGGAATCATGTGGTTTCATGCAACACACTTGCCAGGAACCAAACCTATTCATTAGATTGTAGCTGGTGTAACTTTAGTATCAAATCTTTTATTATACAGCGATTCAGCTTTGCTCAGCATCACTCATCTCCGACTCAAATCCTCATCTCGCCCTTCCTTCAGCCCAGTTCACCCTCGTCGCCTCCATCACCTTCTTGACCTCGTACCTCCACTCGACGTTCAATGCTGAGACCTTATTTCTGTCAGCTTCTGGAGATAGCTCTGTGCTGCTGGCATCGAGAGGATGAACTGAACTGTCCTTTGACCTATTCGGTAGCAGCCGTATCCCATCAGTCCAAAAACGGTTGCTTTTATGACAAATTTGAAAATCTTACTTGAGGCTGACGGAGGAGGCACGCTGAAGCAAGAGACACAAAACAACATTAACACCTGCACAGCTGGAAGGAACAGGAATTTTCCAATTAAGACAAGGATCTCTTCTCCCCTTAGAGTGCAGGAGACTTTTAGGTTACAGATTTGTCATGAACAAAAGACATTCACATTCAAGGGCTGCATCCAAATTAAACAGTAACAACGAGCGGAAAAAGCGTTGTTATCATGGAAGATGCCAGCCTTAATGCCTACGGACCTTGACTTGTCAGTCACCCTGTCAAATAACTAAGGCAACACCAAGATAGCTTGAAGACCATTAGAAGTTAACACTGTCTGTCAACCTGTCTATAACGTCCCTATGAATCTCTCTGCACAGAGACAGAAGTCAGAACAAACACAGGACAAAGCCCAAGTCCAAAACCTGTACAACCAACTCACTGTCCTGCAGGGTAATGGAGGGAAACAGCCTGGATATTCTGCGTGAGGTGTCAGGACCTGCTCAGGTCTGCGTGGCTGGAAGGGGTAAGTGGAGCCAGGCTGGCCCCTGCAGATTCAGGGTGTTTCAGTGAGGGGTACCCCTGGGTGCCAGGCAGGCTGAGCAGCCTAGCTGCAGCTCCAGCGTGAGTGTGGGGAGGGCAAGCCCCTGCAGCACTCTCGGCCTCCCGAGCGCTACAGAGGACAGTGCAGACAGATCAGGGAGGCTTCGCACGAGGCGGTCTGGCAGGTATCGCAGGCTTTGAGATCCTCACGGACTGACTGGAAGCCTCTGCACTGGCCACCTGGAACCAGGAGGGCAGAGGACATTAGGCACCCCAGGCCTACCCCTGCCCTCAAGCAGCCTTACGAACTCGGTGTGGGGAGCAAACAGGTATCTCTGCCTTCGAAACAAAGCTGGCTTTGAAAGCACAGCCACACACACAAGTAGTCCTGCCGTAGCTCAGCTGGCCCTGAAGAGATGAGTGAGGTGCTTACATAAAAACAGTAAACACATGACAAGATAAATCATCAGTATTTGAAAGGCTCTATTACCCTAAACCACCACAGACCAGTATTACCAGGTGACAGTATAATCCCTCCTACATTTCTGAAGTCCTGACCTTTGTGGCTTTATAGGAATCACGTAGTCTGAACATCGTTGTTCTTTGGTTCCTTCTTTTACAAAGCCCATACATGTATTTTAAGAGGAACTTTGGAGCAAGAGTTCACCAGGTACGTGGCTTAAATCATCCCATATTTAGGTACACACATTAAAACATATATTACTTGTATATATACGGTTAAAAATAGGCTATGAGCAACTGTGATAGCAAGCTTGCCAGAGCCAGCAGTGTCCTGACACAACAAAAGCTTTGAATCCAACAGTTTATGTTTATCTAAGCTAGACTGGAAGCCTGGTTTTGTTTTCATTATCTTCTACAGACCTCATTTGAATTCTTATTTTAGAAGCCTTAAACACGGATCGATAAATTTTATTTCTAGACAAGGGCATCTTCTCATCTCTACTTCCTTCGATCCCCAACTACATACATGCTTTTTTTCCTTTGATATTTTCTTTTCCTTTGCTGTAAGCACAATCTGGAAGCACTGCACAGCAAGTCAGGGAGCTGACAGGGCAGGGATGACAGTACTGATGTTTCTTCAAGCTGTGACAACAAAAAAACCCCTCCAAACAAACCGATTAATTGCTGTCTTTTAGCAAAAGAAGCTGTTACCTCATTATTTCCTGGATGTTTAAGTCAGAGTTCCAGTTCTTTTCAATCCCAGGTACATGACCCATCCCAACAACACCAACTACAACAGCTGGGATGTATTTTCTAGGTTCAGCTGAGGAAGAGAGATGAAAACAAAGGAACACATCAGTAAAAGAACTAATTTCAGGCTATAAACAAACAGGTAGTGTGTGAGACTGCAAACCAGAATTTTCCAAGAGGTAAGGAACCTTACTGCTAGATATTAAAACTCTGTTACATACCAGAAGTTAACACTCATCTCACTCACTACTGCCTCTTACGTTGAAAGTCTGAAAAAATCTGCACGGCTTCTGGATTTTCAGGAAACATTTGTTTAGGTAAATGGATATGGTCAGGGCTCATACTCCAGCCTCAGGGTGAGCGGCTCAGCAGATGTGACCTAAATTTCTTTCTGTGTGGGTCATGTTTCTGCACTGCTTATGACGAACAGCCCTAGTCTTCGCTGTCTCCGGAACAGAGAGCTTTCTCCACCACTCTGTACAGTGGCAGCCGGTGCACAGCCAATCTGTGAGAAGGCCTGGGCTAACGAGCAGAACAAGCAATCGGAGAACAGTGCTGGAGACTGCACCTGCCTGCGTTAAGTTCACTGTTAGAGACCCGGCCCCAGCAAGTAACAGCAAACCCCGTACCATTCGTGTGCAGCACCTAGCCAGTCACCATTAGACCACTGCAACACATGCCAGCTCCGACCTACCATCCAAATTCCACAACACCCAACGGTAGTTAAAATGTTGTTCCTGAAAGTTTCGGGATTACTTCTCCCCCAGTGAAAAAATGGTACCATAATAATTCACAGAAAGCTTTCTAAGTGATATTAATCAGGCTGCTTTCCTATGGGGAAAATTATACATAAATATAAAATGTGAGTTCCACTGTCTTGCTTTAAATATTCACCCTTGATTTTTCCAGAAAAAGAAAAATTGAAAAGCAGCTCCCTTGTCCCTGGAAATGGAACAGAACTGCCTTCAACACATTTTCAAAACTGTTCCTCTGGACTCGCCTTTTGTCAGCCTATCCTAGGGTGGCTCTCAGTCAGAGCTGTAACTACAACAGAGGCAGAGCACAGCACCTCAGCAGCAGGGGCTGCCCACAGCACATCACATCCGCTCCAACCTCCAGCCCTGTCTTCCTCTGCTTTTGGGCAGGAGTCACAGGTGACACCGGTAACTTAAAAGTCCTGTGAGAAACTTAGTCCTGGAAGAAACTTTTGTTTTCCTCTAAGAGTATTTTGTGTGGAGTAAAGATATAATGAAAAACTCAATGTGAAAGTTTCATTTGCAAGCTCTTTGGGAGAGTTCACCCAGACAAATAGTCAGGTGACTGCTAGGAACAAATCAGACCTAGTTCAGGAATACATCAGACCAAAAGTGTATTTGAGTCCTGCAAATAGTGCCCAGGAATTCCCTCTTGCTATGTCCCCACAACTGCAAGTTGTTTGGACAATGGTGATGATGCCCTGTTTTTGCTCATCAGAATTCTGGGAGTTTGTATTTTGCTACGAGTCTTAAGTATCTGGGTTTTTTTCCCTTCTTTTTGCTTCTCGTGAGCATGAATGCATACAACAGGTTACATGCATATAATACGAACACACAGCTTCTAAACAGAACTGTCTCTTGCACTGCCTCTTGTTAACTAAGGGACTGAGACACATGACACTCAGTCTCTCACATTCTTGTCTTTTATGGTCCCATCTTCTATTTTAAGTCATTCATAGTGCATATAAACCCCTTCCAGTTTCATAGGCATTCACTAAACCAGTGAATGGTTTAGTGGATCCAGAGACCAAGCTTTTAAGAAGGTAGATTTAAAAGAGAAAAAGAAAAAAAAAAGAAAAAGGGCAGGGGAATTGCTAAACAATTCCTCTTGTGACTCGTGACCCAGCCAGGACCAACAACTAAATTTTCATCCTGCCCTTCGGACCATGTAACTGAACGCATCTGTGCCTCCCCCAGCCACATCAACCGAGCCAAGAGGAAACACTGTGTGTTTGGACACACTTTACGGAGGCAGCGCTGAGGTAACATCAGGCAAGGGAGATACAAGAACACAAGTGCAAGCCCCTTGCTATTTTGTCACTCACAAGAACACAAGTGCAAGCCCCTTGCTATTTTGTCACTCACAAGACAGTGACAGAGGCCTGCACTGATTACAAACGTTAAGACAGCAAGTAGGAGGCACCCCATACCTCAGTACACTTACATACAGGGAGGGCATGCAGGTCACATACAGCAGCAAAATACTTCCAAAGGCTAGAGAAATGCAATTGTTCTGTGGGCCCGTGCGTTGCCAAAACATGCAGAGTCACACATTTCACCCAAGTGTGCTCCTGGGCAGCTACTGACAACAGTGAACTTGGGGTGGTGCCAAGGTACAAGTGAGACAGGCAACCAAGTCTAGACTGCCCTGGGCTGTGCTCTAACACCAGATTCCTGCCTTCTCAAAAGGCTGCCAGGCTACTTAGGAATCATAATTTGGAGTCTACAAAATTAGACTCTACAAAAACTCTTTACTTGTAAAGGTGTTTGCAACAGCAGAGTAATATCCCTTTTCAATTTTTTTAAGCATGGTAATCTTAAGCGACACGTGGCACACACAGAAAACACCCCAGACTTCCTGAGAAGAACTGAACTTTGGACTAGTACAAGAACACCACCTTGCTGGTTATGGTATCTGCTTTAAAACAATTACTTTCTGAAGCTCGAGGTAGTTCTATCTGCTTTGCTGCTTGCTTCAGCATGTAGGTCAAGTAAATATCTCGTTCCGACACAATCGTTCGATGAAGATCAGGAAACTCTCCAATCATTTCTGCCATCATCTGCTCCAGTAAATCCTTCTGTTTGCACTTCTCCACATCATCTTTACTGAAAGAAAGGTAAGTTTTCTCAGTATCTGTTATGTTCTTAAAGCCCAGTACAGACAAACCAATTAATGAAAACAATTGGGTATTATACACATTATGGCCATAAACCCACGCTCTACAGCTGTCCTGCCCCAGTTCTCCTCTCCAAAAGGAAAACAAACGCCCCAAACCTGTAAAACTGGATACCTAACAATGCCCCTACAGTGAGGGAAAGCAGGTTGCACTGCCTAAAGGCAAGTGACCTCTCTCATTTTCACCCTTCCCAGGTCTGAAAGCTGACAACTCAACTGAGCAAAAGCACTAGGGCTTCAAAGGAAAGCGTTATCCTGGTGCCCCACTTTCGGTGTGTATTAATAAGCTCAGAAAAGCACACCCAAGGAGGCAGATCTGATCACCGAACACAGAGGGCCTATTTAAGGAACAAAAGAAAAGCACACTGTAAGGCACAGTCTGAGAGAATGGAAAGAGTTCTGCGGGTTCCTAGTGTCAATCACGGGTCTTCAGCAAAGAAGTCAAAGTTATAAACCAATTCCCTGAACAAAAGAATAGGAAACGGGCAGAAAATAAACAAATAAAAACTGCAGGAGTAGATGTAATGAGCTTTTATATTTTTATAGGTGCTGTTAACCCTTCCATTTGCACAGTCACAGTTTTTGGCAACAGAATAATCTGTGTTTGTATCACTGTCTACTGAAGAATTATGCCAAATATGCTTTCTTTAGTTTCCAAGATCAAAAGGGCACTACAAATGTCAACAGAGAGATCAAACCAAGAAATGCCTTCCTAGCTTTCAGCAGCTCATGGAAATGTCAGACTGACAAAATTTTGATGCTGAATTATTACTCCATTTTCTGCAGAATCTCACGTTGATGGCTGGCTGCACAATGCTGAAAGTTTGATTGTCCCAACTGCAGTTTGAGCCCTGGCCCAATTTTAAAAGTCTGGAAAAAATGCCATATATCATGAGCTGTGCAGAGCCCTGATGGTCACAGGGTACGAGAGGGGCACTGGGATTCAGGGACCACATGCACAGGGAACCTATTTCTGGCAAGCCTCCCACCACTGTGACTCTGGTAAGAACAGACTGCATTTAGGAGGATGTTTGTGCACATGTTCTCACCCAGTTCAAGCAAGTTATCACACACCTACTAGTGGAAAGAGGAAGCAAGCCTGGCACAGGAGTGTCTCTGAAGGGCAGGGGAAACCAAACTCAGCAAGAGAATAGCTGTCTGAGGGGTATTACCATGAGGCAGAAGTTCCTAACAATGTCCCTTTATAAAGGCAATAATCATGAAGAGTCACGTTGTCCACAGATTTTAAACATTTTCTCTTGTTCAAAAAAATCTGCTTAGACAGCATATTCAGTTCTCAGCCCTGATCCAGATGCAACTTAGCACAGCAGGCCCAAGACCCTTGGAAATCTTAAGGAAGTCTAAACCAGCATACCGAGGCCCTGATCTCTATTTACAATACCCACACATGGTAGTGTGCAAGATCTTATTTTCAGCATCAAAATCAAAAAAATTTCAAGTACACTAGGAATTCCCCAGCACAAAAATCTGTCTCTCCCCCTGGAAGCAATGTATCAAAAGACAACTAAAGAAAAGAGCTGGAATAAGATCAGAAAGCCAGCTTTCTTTGAAAAAATATGGATTATTGCAGGGTAGTTTGTAACTTGAAGTTAGTGAGAAGATACATCAGACTGGGTACCAAGTAATTCCAGGTCATCCTAAAGTCAAACCGAAGAATTGAACAACTCGCCCCAATAAACATATGGGATGCTTATTCATACCTGATTGGGTCAGATAAGAAGCAAAGGCCCCAAGCAAGCTTGACTTTTTGCCAGAAAGAAAGTGCAGCAATTGCTCTCTTAAATGTAACAGGGATGGGTCGGTCTCCAAGATGGAATTTACAGAAAGGTACTTTACTAGCCTGTAAGAGAAAACAAATCACTAGTCAACATCTCATACTGCAGCACATCCTTATTAAGAGAATGTTTTATTGTGTTACACGAGGTATCTTACAGAGCAAATGGTGTCATACTTCAACATCAAAAGTATTTTGGCTTTGCAGTAAACAAAATTTCCAAAATACTACTTCATAAAGCAATACAGCAGCTACAAACCACGGGATGTATTAAGAGTGAAACCATTAAGTTGTAATGCCATCCTCTTTAGGTTACTTTTACCTAAGCAGAAAGCTTCCGCTTTTGACCACTTCAGGTGAACAGAAGGGGCTCAATATCTACCTGGATCTGCATAAAGTCTAAGGTGGAAACAACTGTGGTCATTTTGCTTTTACCTAGGATTCATCAGGATCATTTTTTTATATATATA